CCACTACCTAATTCATCTGTGATGGTACACTGTGGATCTCGTGAACCCACATTGGCTCCAAACCCTACGGCAGCCCACCCCAGATGGTGCAGACTGCACCAGCGCCGCCAGCGTTGATAGTAGGTTGTAGCGTTGATAGTATGTTATAGCGTTGATAGTAGGTTATAGCGTTGATAGTATGTTATAGCGTTGATAGTAGGTTATAGCGTTGATAGTATGTTATAGCGTTGATAGTATGTTATAGTGTTGATAGTTGTGATAGAAGTTGTAGTGTTGATAGTTGGTTATACTGTTGATAGTAGGTTGTTGATAGTTGGTTATAGTGTTGATAGCTGTGATAGGTTGTTGATAGTTGGTTATAGTGTTGGTAGTTGTGATAGTAGGTTGTTTATAGTGGGTTATAGTTGTGATAGTAGGTTGTTGATAGTTGGTTATAGTGTTGATAGTTGGTTATAGTGTTGATAGGTTGTTGATGGTTGGTTATAGTGTTGATAGTCGGATGTTGATAGTAGGTTATAGTGTTGGTAGTTGTGATAGTAGGTTGTTGATAGTGGGTTATAGTGTTGATAGGTTGTTGATGTTTGGTTATACAGGGAGTGCAGAATTATTAGGCAAGTTGTATTTTTGAGGATTAATTTTATTATTGAACAACAACCATGTTCTCAATGAACCCAAAAAACTCATTAATATCAAAGCTGAATATTTTTGGAAGTAGTTTTTAGTTTGTTTTTAGTTATAGCTATGTTAGGGGGATATCTGTGTGTGCAGGTGACTATTACTGTGCATAATTATTAGGCAACTTAACAAAAAACAAATATATACCCATTTCAATTATTTATTATTACCAGTGAAACCAATATAACATCTCAACATTCACAAATATACATTTCTGACATTCAAAAACAAAACAAAAACAAATCAGTGACCAATATAGCCACCTTTCTTTGCAAGGACACTCAAAAGCCTGCCATCCATGGATTCTGTCAGTGTTTTGATCTGTTCACCATCAACATTGCGTGCAGCAGCAACCACAGCCTCCCAGACACTGTTCAGAGAGGTGTACTGTTTTCCCTCCTTGTAAATCTCACATTTGATGATGGACCACAGGTTCTCAATGGGGTTCAGATCAGGTGAACAAGGAGGCCATGTCATTAGATTTTCTTCTTATACCCTTTCTTGCCAGCCACGCTGTGGAGTACTTGGACGCGTGTGATGGAGCATTGTCCTGCATGAAAATCATGTTTTTCTTGAAGGATGCAGACTTCTTCCTGTACCACTGCTTGAAGAAGGTGTCTTCCAGGAACTGGCAGTAGGACTGGGAGTTGAGCTTGACTCCATCCTCAACCCGAAAAGGCCCCACAAGCTCATCTTTGATGATACCAGCCCAAACCAGTACTCCACCTCCACCTTGCTGGCGTCTGAGTCGGACTGGAGCTCTCTGCCCTTTACCAATCCAGCCACGGGCCCATCCATCTGGCCCATCAAGACTCACTCTCATTTCATCAGTCCATAAAACCTTAGAAAAATCAGTCTTGAGATATTTCTTGGCCCAGTCTTGACGTTTCAGCTTGTGTGTCTTGTTCAGTGGTGGTCGTCTTTCAGCCTTTCTTACCTTGGCCATGTCTCTGAGTATTGCACACCTTGTGCTTTTGGGCACTCCAGTGATGTTGCAGCTCTGAAATATGGCCAAACTGGTGGCAAGTGGCATTGTGGCAGCTGCACGCTTGACTTTTCTCAGTTCATGGGCAGTTATTTTGCGCCTTGGTTTTTCCACACGCTTCTTGCGACCCTGTTGACTATTTTGAATGAAACGCTTGATTGTTCGATGATCACGCTTCAGAAGCTTTGCAATTTTAAGAGTGCTGCATCCCTCTGCAAGATATCTCACTATTTTTGACTTTTCTGAGCCTGTCAAGTCCTTCTTTTGACCCATTTTGCCAAAGGAAAGGAAGTTGCCTAATAATTATGCACACCTGATATAGGGTGTTGATGTCATTAGACCACACCCCTTCTCATTACAGAGATGCACATCACCTAATATGCTTAATTGGTAGTAGGCTTTCGAGCCTATACAGCTTGGAGTAAGACAACATGCATAAAGAGGATGATGTGGTCAAAATACTCATTTGCCTAATAATTCTGCACTCCCTGTAGTGTTGATAGTTGTGATAGTAGGTTGTTGGTAGTTGGTTATAGTGTTGATAGTAGGTTGTTGATAGTTGGTTATAGTGTTGATAGTTGTGATAGTCGGATGTTGATAGTAGGTTATAGTGTTGATAGTTGTGATAGTAGGTTGTTGATAGTTGGTTATAGTGTTGATAGGTTGTTGATGTTTGGTTATAGTGTTGATAGTTGTGATAGTAGGTTGTTGGTAGTTGGTTATAGTGTTGATAGTAGGTTGTTGATAGTAGGTTATAGTGTTGATAGGTTATAGTGTTGATAGTTGTGATAGTCGGATGTTGATAGTCGGTTATAGTGTTGGTAGTTGTGATAGTAGGTTGTTTATAGTGGGTTATAGTGTTGATAGTTGTCATAGTAGGTTGTTGATAGTTGGTTATAGTGTTGATAGTTGGTTATAGTGTTGATAGGTTGTTGATAGTTGGTTATAGTGTTGATGGTTGGTTATAGTGTTGATAGTTGTGATAGTCGGATGTTGATAGTGGGTTATAGTGTTGATAGTTGTGATAGTAGGTTGTTGATAGTTGGTTATAGTGTTGATAGTAGGTTGTTGATAGTTGGGTATGGTGTTGATAGTTGTGGTTTGACACCGATCTCTCCACTGTTTGACCAATAGGTTTATTCCTAATAACAAGGTAAAACTCTTTATTTTTTATTCCCTTAATAATATATTCAGCTAACACACAGTGTGATTCATTGAATTAGGTTGGCTACCCAGGGAGTGATAATTTGCTGGTTATAACAGATTGTTGGCATACAGCAGGTTCCTTGGGTGGTGAATCTTAATTAAAAAAAAAAAAAAAAAAGTAAAAAGTAGTTGCACTAATAGGGAGAGAGTGAACAACTGTCTTCATTTAGCACCTTGAGTTTGTTACTTTATAACTTTTGGTGTTTCTTATTTCATATTCTGAGTTTTTTTGTTTTGTCAATCCATTAGATTGGAATTATCTACCCGGTTGAATACTTGCTTTTTATTTTTTAGTTGAGGGTTTTTATTCCTGGAAAATCCTAATATTGTCCCATAGGTACAAGACACTAGTCATTTTTTAGCCCAGAAGTCGTGGAATATAACTTTGTGCCATTCTATGCAGTACAATTGTGCAAAGTAAAAAAAAAAATCAGTTCGGCCAAGTCACGTCATCGAGTCCAGCTAATCGAAATATCATCCATGCAAAGATATTTGGGGAAATGATTTAGATGAAACAAAAAGGAAGCGAAAACGGGCCAGAGTGCTGCAAAATATATACATAATATAAATACACATAATATAAATATATTGTATACATTTTGCAGTAAACTGAAATGGCGCAATTTAACGTCATTTAGTTCACAGATCAAGAGAGAAAAAGTAATTACTAGAGGGAAACTCAGGAGTAGCAGTAAATAAGATCTTTATATTTTTATATATTTTATAGTTCTTTTAAGTCAAATAAACATGTGTTTATGCATTCCGTGAGTTATATGTCCAACCAGCCAATCGGCCTAAACTCAGACGAATTGCAATTCGGCCGAAGATGAATGCACATTTCTGTGGGTGCTATTGCTCTGAAGAGCTGTAAAATATGCATATACATTGAATATTGAAGCACATTACAGCTACAGAGATCAGGGATACACTCATACACACTGCACATTACTGTGAGTCTTACTGCAGTGAAGCTTTCTGTGAGTTTTATTGATGTGGAGCTCTGTTATACACTCATACACATTGCACATTACAGTGAGTTTTATTGCATTAGAGCTCTGTGATACACTCATACACATTGTACATTACAGTGAGTTTTATTGCATTAGAGCTCTGTGATACACTCATACACATTGCACATTACAGTGAGTTTTATTGCTGTGGAGCTCTGTGATACACTCATACACATTGCACATTACAGTGAGTTGTATTGCTGTGGAGCTCTGTGATACACTCATACACATTGCACATTACAGTGAGTTTTATTGCTGTGGAGCTCTGCGATACACTCATACACATTACAGTGAGTTTAATTGCTGTGGAGCTCTGTGATACACTCATACACATTGCACATTACAGTGAGTTTTATTGCTGTGGAGCTCTGTGATACACTCATACACATTGCACATTACAGTGAGTTGTATTACTGTGGAGCTCTGTGATACACTCACACACTGCACATTACAATGAGTTTTATTGCTGTGGAGCTCTGTGATACACTCATACACATTACAGTGAGTTTAATTGCTGTGGAGCTCTGTGATACACTCACACACTGCACATTACAATGAGTTTTATTGCTGTGGAGCTCTGTAATACACTCACACACTGCACATTACAGTGAGTTTTATTGCTGTGGAGCTCTGTGATACACTCATACACATTGCACATTACAGTGAGTTTTATTGCTGTGGAGCTCTGTGATACACTCAGACACATTGCACATTACAGTGAGTTTTATTGCTGTGGAGCTCTGTGATACACTCATACACACTGCACATTACTGGGAGTTTTATTGCTGGGGAGCTCTGTGATACACTCAGACACATTGCACATTACAGTGAGTTTTATTGCTGTGGAGCTCTGTGATACACTCACACACTGCACATTATTGTAGCCATCCCCATAACCTCCACATTCTAAGTTTTCAATCCTTTCACTATGAATCATGTAGAAAAAAAAAAAAAAAAACTTTTTATCGCCCGAGCCTTGGAAATACTTTCTCATAAAAATAAACAGAAGTCCTGGAATTCCGACACAAATAAGTTCATGCTAATATTTATTAATCGCGCTAGATGTTTTCAAAGTGTAAAGTCTAATTGTGACATGAGAGGCCACGGCAAGCACTAAGACTTCCCAGTAGGCCATTAAAAGCGGAGTGGAAGAATTGATGCAGTTTTCTCCCCCCCCCCCCAATGCCTTGTTAAGAGAATCATTCATGTCCTCCCCAAAGGCTGCCTCTCATTAGCATGAGCCTGGGGAGGGCAGAACAAGCAAACTACAGGCATTCTGGTACAGACATATCTCAGCTAAAATGATCACAGCAGCTGTGTGGATTCTACTGTCTACAGCGTTATCCCAAAATACTTCTGGAAGGACAGGTAAGCGATCCATTGAACAGGTTAACTTACAGCTAAGAGATCACTAGGCTTCCATTTATTACATCTGTCCGTATGATATTTATTCACCCAGTGTGCTAACTAAACAAAAATATAGGCAACCTTTGAGCAGAAACAGCTATTTCTCTCTCTTTTTTTTTTTTTTAAATATGCTAAATAAAATAAAAAACATGACTTTTGAACTTAGTATTTGACTCAAAGCTTTAGCTAAAAAGAAATTGCTTTACATAGCAAAAACGCTTTACTTTATTAAATGATTACAAACAATGAACACTATTAAAATATAATATGTGAGATAACGCACATTTTTTAAAATTATTATAATCTTTATTTATAAGAAATACATATAACACATAGAAACATCATTCATTACACAGATTTTTATGGTATTGGCGTGCAAATTTAAAATTTGTACGAGTTTATTGAAAAAAGCTGTGAAATGTAGAAAACTGCAAAGGGAGTTGAAAATTTATGCCAAATTAGACAAATTAAAAAAAAAATTACAATGCGGCTATAGTTTCAGATTTTTTAGCAAAGAAATGTTTGTTTATTCCAGTCCTGCAATTTGATTTTCAATTCACTGTTAAGGAAATAATTAAATACTTTTCAGAGGGGAGAGAAGTCTGATATGAAAACATGGCCAAATAATGATGTGATAAAATATTACTATGAAATTAAATATAATAAAAAATATATAAGAAGCTTACTTTTTAAGGTTTTTTGGGTTTTTTTGTGCGCAAATCTTCATACATTACATCATTAGCTTTGAGCTATGCCAGCAAGTAACTTGATTAATTAAGAACTTCTTATTCTGACAATTGAAGCAGAATTCTTAACCCAGCAGTGCGAGTGTTAAAATGCAGATATAGCACTAAATGCGTCTCTCTGCAGAGATTGGATATATAACAGTCACTAGCATTGATGAGAACTCACTTACCAGAAATCTCTCAGGTTTGTAAGGGTGCAATAAGGAAGCTGTACACAGGTACAATAACCATCAAGAAGCAAGTATTTTCGGACGTGGAGGTGAAACAGAGGAGGTGGGGTTTAAGATAAATAATGTTGCAAAACATTTTTATTCTTCCAAAAACTTAAACGTGCAAAAGTAATACAGGTAGGCCAAAAAGCTATAAAATGCATCAATGTTGTATTGATGCCTGAAGTGTCCACATAAATATTTATTTATCCCATACACGGACCACTACCAATACTGATGGAAGGCGAGTCCATGTACACACTACTCTCCAACGCATGTCCGATATATCTTGAATTTTTTAAAATATCTATAATTGTGCTGAAATGTGATTTTCTGTACCCACTACACTGATTCACATTCCATTCAACTCGTTCCTATTGTACGATTTTTAAAATTATTTTATTTAAAACTCTATATTGTAGTAATAAGGGTATACAGATAAATCATACGTAGAGATTGAGTATATTGGTGTAGTTATGTAGTTATGATGGACAAAAAAGTTACATGCACCCAGTGTAGACAATTTTGAAAATAGTTTGCCCCTTGAGTCCAGATGAAGGCAAATTGTTATCTGGGATTGGGAAGACTTAACAAGGGTATCAAGAAATTTTGTTTAAAACAAAATGCCACTTTGGAAAAATGTTCCAAAATGTGTTATTTTTCCAGTTTGGCCATTTGAATCTAAAACATGCAATTGTTGAGTTACAGCTCTTAGATGCGAGGGGCCTAGCTTTGCAAGTAAAATGTGGGGTACAATTGATCAACCCCATGATAAAGGCCTTAAATATTGTTCTCAGAGTTAGTTAGCAGAAGCAGTAAGTGTAGCAATGTTCATTATACTTCTATATCGCCTTTTGCCAATTCAGCTGGTATTGTAGGCTGAATTTTAACTATTGACAAGTTAGACCTTATCAGCTGAATTTGGCACCCAGATTTTATAAGAGAAATTAAATGTCACTCGGTTGTCACGTATAGGCCTCGTTTAATTTTTTTTTTTTTTTATAAGTTTTTAAAACAATTTTGTTTTTCAAAATATTAAACTGTCAAAAAATATACCATGTATAAAAAACATATCACTATATTAAAAAAAATCTATATTTTTTTTAAAAATAGGACATAATTTTTAAAGGTTATTGAAATATCTAAAATATTTTGAAAACCTTGTCCAGAAATATAAAATCGAGGCCGTAGTCTGTTCCAGGAGTTCCAAGCATTTTTAAAAGTTAAGGTTAAAAATAAAAGTGATTTGGGAGAATTTGTTTAAATTTGTGCTATTTTAGTCTAAAATTTGAAAATTACACTGGATTCCAGAGATTACACGTTTTAGTGGATTTAGTGTAGAGAAAAGGTAACTCAAAACTGGACACAGCAAACAAAACAGTAATTAATATTATGTACTTTGCAAGAGGCTGGTGTTACAGTTTCCTCGGTGAAAGGCCTCTAGCCATGAGAACTACAAATAGAAATGATTCTCTTTAAACACAGCAAAACAGATGCCAACACAATGGCCGACATAAACATGGCTTTCTTAGAAAAGAGGTATAAAATGCAGCTCCCGCATGGGTTAACACCAGACTGTCTCAAACATCGTCAATGCCAGACCATCCATCCATGGATGAGAATGGAGCAGTGGGCAAAAAGAGGGGCATGTTTATAAAGATCCCATTCTCTGCTGGTGAGAATGCTAAGGAATTGCAAATTCTAGATGTCGGTGCTATTGAGGCATCCCGCTGAGCGCACAGACTAATTGTTATTCTGAAGCTGCAGAGACGTAGGGGGTTAGGAAACCAAATTTGCATTCTACAAACAATTTGGATTTTTTTTTTTCCCCTCTCCTGTTTTTACACCTCAGTTAACTCTTTGCAGTAAACTTTTCGATGCACTTGAACCCAGATAAATAACACTTCATTTAAACCAAATGTAGGAATTTAACAGAATCGTCACAAGTTGTTTCGGGGGGTTTTAAATGTCACACCAGACAATGTTTGGGGTGTATTTATTGAGTTTGGAATTGTAGTGATCAGAAACGTTTAGGTCATAATGTCGAAGATGGAGAAATAAATATGCAACTATTTTTCCAGCTTTTACTTTTTTTTAGCCTTAGCCATGCATTTCCCTTTTTACCTGCTGTGTTGTCTATTCAATGGCTTTTTACGTTATTACACACTACGTTTGTACTTTACAAAAAAGTGTAACAATATCAATCTGTATTCTAGAGGTAGCTCGGTGTTTTTACCAGTTAAAGTGACAGACAGATTGTGAAAATCATGTCTTGCCATTCCCTATACAGTGATGTTTGACACCCTGGACAATGTGTTAGAAAGCACATTTCTAAGCAGAAAGGTTCCAAAACTATGATTTTGTTCTTGAGCGGATCATAGATGTTCCCAGAATTAATGGAGCGGATAGTTTTTAGCTTGGATACTTAGAAGGAACGCTAGATGGAGAGTAGCATGATTTGGTTCCTGTTTAATTGTGTTTTTTATACACAGGATAAAAAGGGATTTGTTTATTGAACTCTGAATTAGCGCATTAACATCAGAATTGCAAAAATAAGGCAAATACGGAGGATTTGGAGAGGTTTTCTAACCTGGCTATAATTATTGTTTGGCTTTTTATACTAAGATTTACCGGTGAATGTCGGTTAGCTACAGTTCAGAAACTAGCGAATAAAACCCACAACTTTTTCTAAACCATCCCTTGTGTCCTTTTATTTTCTTGTAGATCTTTCGCAACCTAATAAAAGTCCTTTGTTACTATTACCGCCTGCTTGGAATGACACAACGTCGAGCCATGAGCCCGACTTGTCCCTTGAAATATTCAGACAACGGAATCAGGATAGATACGCTGGCCGCCATCTTTTATTCGCCAATCAACAGCGGCAGACGCACAATGGGAAAGTTGTGGTCCAACCAGATAAAAAAACTAAAGTAAAAAATTGCCTCGACAATAACACAGGGCTGAGGAAACCAAAACTACGCCGCAACTGTGCGTCACCCACAGCTACTGGCGTGGAGGCGCCTCTCTCTCCGCCAAATGTCTATGTAAATTCACAAAAATTGTCACAGGACCAGAGCAAAAGTGAGGTTTCTGCAGATTCCTTTAATTTTCACCAAATAAACTCACGTCAAGATAAAATACTGAGTGATCCACAGGACATGTTCACCGGTGGTGTGACCAACGCATATAACATATTAGATCACGATAGTAACCGTCCGAGTAAAATCAACCAGCAAAGAACTGGTGAAGGCTTCCGGAACTACACAAAGCAATCATGGATAACTAATCGGCATCCGTCTAGCCTCCTTTACCAATTCAGTCCATTTAAAAAAGGTAAATTTTTCTTACTTATAAAAATACAAAACAAAAACATTTAGGGGAAGTGACCGCATACAGACATTTTTTTTATATTATGATGGCATTTCTGGAAATATACATTCACACAAATGCAAACAGGTACTTTAAAAGTATCCACAATTGTATATGAGAAAAATGGTATTCCTGCTTCGAGATTAATGTCTCAGACCCTGTCTCCGTTTCAGGAGGTTAATATTATTATTGTCATTTATATAGCACCAACAGATTCTGTAGCGCTTTACAATATTTTGAGAGTGGGGATCTAACTATAAATAGGACAATTACAAAAAACTTACAGGAACGATAGGTTGAAGATATAGCTCCATTATTGCACTGATATAATATTGCATTTTGACAGACCTATTTTAACAGATCATTTTATGCAATTGCACATTTATCAAGCAAATTAAGTGCCACAGTTGTAATTCTGCAACAAACTACTTCTACAGTGATTGGAGATCCTGTGAAATAAAATTTAATTCTACGTAACAATAAAAGAAACAAACAAACACATTCTCAACTTCAAGAGGTATTCATCATCAATATATCTGCAGTGGAAAACACGCAATGTGTTTTCTTGAACACGGACATCATCTAGCGTGGCACAAGTTGGGGGTATCACTGCCAGTGACATAATCCTGCAACAATCTATAAAAAAAAAATATCAATCATCACCTCTGATGGTATTTTATCTACAGGTGGGGTAGTCAGTGGAATGGTCATTTGATCGACACAAATTTCTGAAGATACAAGAACCAGCTATTTTTTTAAGTTCAGTTAGTTTGACCCATATTTTGATATTCACTTTTAAAGGGACACTATAGTCACCTGAATAACTTTAGCTTAATGAAGTAGTTTTGGTGTATAGAACATGCCCCTGCAGCCTCACTGCTCAATCCTCTGCCATTTAGGAGTTAAATCCCTTTGTTTATGAACCCTAGTCACACCTCCCTGCATGTGACTTGCACAGCCTTCCATAAACACTTCCTGTAAAGAGAGCCCTATTTAGGCTTTCTTTATTGCAAGTTCTGTTTAATTAAGATTTTCTTATCCCCTGCTATGTTAATAGCTTGCTAGACCCTGCAAGAGCCTCCTGTATGTGATTAAAGTTCAATTTAGAGATTGAGATACAATTATTTAAGGTAAATTACATCTGTTTGAAAGTGAAACCAGTTTTTTTTTTCATGCAGGCTCTGTCAATCATAACCAGGGGAGGTGTGGCTAGGGCTGCATAAACAGAAACAAAGTGATTTAACTCCTAAATGACAGTGAAATTGCAGGGGAATGATCTATACACTAAAACTGCTTTATTTAGCTAAAGTAATTTAGGTGACTATAATGTTCCTTTAATTCCAGGAAATCCAAATTTAGCAAATAATCCTGCTAGTCTGGTGGGTTTCAATAAAAAGTTCTTTAAAACAAAATATTATATATCCGTTATATAGGATCCGAAAGTAAAGAGAAAATATGTCTGAATGAATGTCACAAGGAGAAGGATGAAAGAGACTCTTATTGTAACAGTGATTTCGGTAAGTACGTCTTGTCTTATCATACAATATATAGAAAGATGTAGATAGAATACACAGACAGCAGATCAGTGCTTCTTGCACCATAGGTTACGTTGGGATAAGTCACAAAAAGGGGTCGACACATAATGTTATTGTTTCACCACTGGAACAAACAGGGACATCATATGCAGGCCCTGGCAACTTCCCAAATATATACTGTAGCAGTACTGCGTTACAATTCAGTGCAGACTCCCCTGACACTGGCGGAGAATCCAATGAGCTAATGAGATGTACATAATTGGGTTGCCTGTCAAATGGTTAAGAATCATTGCGATAGACAAACAGACATAGACGGACAGATCAACAGACAATCTCATCGATTCTCTTGTGGGCCAAAAGTGTTAAAACATGATAAAACATAGTAAATCATTAGCCAAAGTTTTTTCACTCAAGACAGCTCAGTATGAGGTTCTAGATTATTCATGGTCCAACAGGCATGGAGGATTCATATTAATCCAGTGTAGACAACCACAGAACTCTAAATCAGGGGTGTCCAAAAGGTAGACCCCCAGATGTTGTAGAACTACAACTCCCATGATGCTTTGCATGACATTAGAATGCTTTAAAATGACAAAGAATCATGCCTTTTGGGCACCCCTGCTCTAGATTATTCCAGTAAGATCTGGAAGTCAGATGTTGGGTTCTATATTATTCCACGGTAGAGGTTTAGAGTTCATTGATATTCCTGCAAAAGTTAGATCCAGGTTGTAGATGAGTTTGGGATAGACCATTCTATAATCAGTTCTACACAAATCCAGTTTAGAAAGAAAGCTGCTTGGCTCATATTAATTTTTCTCCTTGTGAAATTACGTCAGCTTAACCGTGGCGTGTTAGGATGATGTTTAATAGTGCTTTATATTTGGTTATAAATATATTAACATCTTCATAGCGGTCAATGGAATAGTTCACAACGTGGAAACACTCAGCAAAGGGACACACCTTCTGACACTTCTCGTGAACAGCGCAGGGCTGTACAAGATGAATCGGCTCTATATAACTCCTGACGGGTTCTTCTTTAGAATAAAGATTTTGGCTGTGGATACATTAAGATGCCATAAACCCTGCCTTGACTTCAAACTAGGTAAGCAAATATTTTTTAAAAACCGTACAGAGACTGCAGTGAGCATTTAAATATATATATAAAAAAATACCTTAACCTATTCAGAGATAATCATAAAAATAATTAAAGGACCACTATAGGCACCCAGACCACTTCAGCTTAATGGTCTGGGTGCCAGGTCCAGCTAGGGATAACCCTTTTTTTAAAAAAACATAGCAGTTTCAGAGAAACTGCTATGTCTATGTTAGGGTTAATCTAGCCTCTAGCGGCTGTCTCACTGACAGCCGCTAGAGGCGCTTGCGTGCTTCTCACTGTGAAAATCACAGTGAGAAGACACCAGCGTCCATAGGAAAGCATTGAGAATGCTTTCCTATGGACTGGCTGAATGTGCGCGTGGCTCCTGCCGCGCATGCGCATTCAGCCGAAGAGGGAGGAGAGCTCCCCGCCCGGCGCTGGAGAAAGAGGTAAGTTTAACCCCTTCCTCTCCCCAGAGCCTGGCGGGAGGGGGTCCCTGAGGGTGGGGCCACCCTCAGGGCACTATAGTGCCAGGAAAACAGGTATGTTTTCCTGGCACTATAGTGGTCCTTTAACAGTTTCACTAACATGTATATGCACATTATTGGGTTTTGTTTTACAATCCAATGCAATACGTAACATAATATTAATAAACTTCACCTCGGGTAACCATCAAGATGTGAAACTAATTTATTAGCTAGATGGTAATTACTTTCAAATACAGATATTGTTTCAGTCAGGAATCTATCCACTGACCACATACAGTCATAATGATTATATTCTGCTGACATTTTGGGAATTGGAATTCCCCGATATGCCAGCAGATTCTTTACTCGTATTGCAAGTTAAAGGATAATACATAATGTCTTATACTTCGTACACACTGCAATATTTCTGAAAAGGATGAATGAATAAATATATAATTAACTTTTTTTTTTTTTTTTTAATTCTTTATTTTTCTTGTGCTTATGGTTACAACATGCTTGCAGCACCACGACAGCGTGTACAAGCTATTCAATATCATACAGTGTCAAGGCAGCGTAAACTGCACATTTATATTTTTGAAATATAACAGGTTTGGTACAAGTGGATAGAACATTTATAGCTAGTTTATGCATGCTAAGTTAAGTAGTGTGGATATGGTTCTTAAGTTACAGGCTATGCAAGTTAACGACAGGTATAGATTTTCTACACTGCTTGGATTTAAATTTAACCACCAGGGGGCAGCGAGCCTCTGAGTTTGCTGGATAAACTGAAATGTAGGCTTATCTATTTTTAAATGAGTTACATGTGGGTCTGCTGAATAGGGTCAGCTGCAATAATGCTAGACATAACAGCATGAATAAGAACTAAAACAGAAGACACAAAGCGTTCTGCTGGGTTTTGATTATGGTTATACAGGGTTAGCAGTCACTTAGTTACTCCTGCAGCTGTGCGGGGTCGGCGGGTGTCCTGGCTGTAATCAAGTCCCTGGTGTTCCCCGCTGGTTGCGTGAGTGCCCAGGCACCCGTTGGCCAGGAGTACGTTTGGTCGCATGTCTGCAGGCTTCAGCCTCAAGTATGAAAAGAGGCTTGTGTCCTATGTCCGTTGCACTTCTGTGCCCATTCAGGGTTATAGTCCCAAGTGAGTCCCCGCAGATCCGCCGGAGACCATGTGAGATGTTACCTCAGATAATATATAAGCTGTGCTTACATGTTGAATGTGCCCTCCTTAGAGTCGTACGGTGGGTGGAAAGTGTGTGTCGTTGTTTGCGGGACACAATCAGTGCTTGGTGTTCTGGTCCGCCTCTGTTTCCAAACGGTGCCCAGCGGTTGCTCTATTGCTGCCACCTCCATTCTCCAACTAGTGAGGGACGCGGCGGCCATCTTGGGTTTC